TGGCATGGCCCGTAAATAGGTGTGAGATCAGGGGCGAGTAGGAAGTGGTCAAATGGACGTCCGATATTTAGAGGCCTTAATGATGTCGGAATTCAGTGATCTTAGGCTCGTTGGATTCTTCTCGTCGAGCCGTTCGATTCGAGAATAAGCTCGTAAAAATTGGAGACCGTTTGGTAACTCAAATTGATGTTTGAACCTTTCGACAGCACTTTGAGCCCTTGATTCAGACTCATTTGGGGATCGGATTAGGTTGATCTTCGTGTCGTTGGGTTCATATTTCCAAGACGCTCAGTTTGACTATAAGCTCGCTGAAATCGGTGTTTGGATGCTCCCAAAATAAAATTTTGAAGTTTCCAACTAGCCTTTTGCCTCGAGATTCGTGCCCGATTAGGATAATTTTATGATGACGTATCACATCTAATACAAATTTGTCGCGGCATCTGCACTTTTGACCACGCTTTTGACTTGCGCTTTAGTTATGCTTTACCTGCGCTTTACCTATACTTTGACTGCGCTTTACTTGCGCTTTTGACTACGCTTTTGACTTGCACTTTAGTTGCGCTTTGCCTGCGCTTAATTTAAAATAATATTTTATTAATATTAGGACCTATCTCCACGTCCGGTGACCAGATGCAATAATTTGCCCTAATATTGTCACATATGCTCTATGTGTCGTCTTACTTTAAAAGAGGCTATAACGATACTCATCTATAGTCAATAATTCAATGGGGGCGATCACTAGCGATTTCTCTTTTGATCAACTTATCCCAAACAATTAAATTATTAGGACTTTTCAAGTCAGATAACGCATTTACCGGGAGGGTGATAAATCAAAGTGTTTGTTGATAATACATATGAAGGAACAGTTATAAAATAATGTTCACTTTCTCTAAAAATGGGTAACAATGATCTAACAGTGCTTATTTTCTTCAATATGTAGAATAAGTTTTCTTAAGGCTTCTTGGGATATCTACGTATTTAATGATTGAAAGAAAATATGCATCTTAACATAGCCAAGGAACTCTTATTATAAAAATCATGTTATTCAGTTTGAGGAACAATGTGCATCAATTTTGTAGATTGGATGAAAGAACTTTTATTCTGGATAAATAATGAATCAGACATTTGAAACAATTGAGGAAACTATTTGTCAATTATCTTTATCTTAGTGCGTCCTTAACCTGAGCATCACTACTGTTCAAGCTCTTAGGAAAATAGCTTGGAATTAGACTATCTATTGGTTGCATGAAACTGATAATTTTGGGTTTGGTTTGTTGTGACTGGAAAATTAATGGCTATATTACGTCAAGTCATGCATATATCAAAATGTAGCCCAAAAATGCTCAATCAAATTTAATTTAGATATCTAAGCCCACTCCACTAAAAAAAAAATCAATTTAATATTTAAAGTATACTCCTCCATAAACATAATTTTAGACATGATTAATGTTATTCTCACATATATTCAATCCACATTGATTCATGCAAGAACAAAGTAATAGTATATCAGTAACATCTCTTTTATACGAATCCGATTTAATGTACAGTCAAGCAAAAATTGTTCGGGCAAACAAAATTGACTATATTAAAATCAAATTTAAAATTCTACAACTTTGATATTTACAACATATAACATTTATAATTTTAGAAAGAACATAAATATAGTAAATTTTTTCTCACCTTATTATTACCAATCCATCATTAGCGGGCCAATGAAGAAATTGTCAGCAACAAAATTGGAACTAATGATAATTGAGCCTTCGAGATGGCTATAAGAAGAGAAGTTGGTATGTGGGTTAATCAAGGGAGCGGAGATAATTGAGCTATTTAGATGATTTCGTATGATGATTAAGTATTTTAGTTGATATATTGCGAGTGATTTAACTGAGGGGTGTGGCAGTAAGCTCGGGTGGCTGGGAAGCAATTGAGAGAAGGGCAAATGACGAGAATGAAAGTTGCATAAAATGACACGACATTAAGAAAGGGATACAGAGTAAGGTTAAACCTCTCACATGAGAGTGAGATAGGATGGAAGAAACGAAGTATGAGGCATCACAGAAACCCATCCACCCTTCCCGATTGAATTCCTGTGCCATGGTCCAATTCCTTAAACCTAAACAACCACTACCAACCACCTTTCATAAAAAGTCGAATTCATGGTTTTGAGAGCATTAGGTGGCTAGCTGGCTCTTCAATCTAGGAAGGATAAGTCCATGATTTATTGCATTAGCTAGTTTGGCTGCCACTATTATTTAGTGCCTAAATTAGACTTACGAATATCCGGGGTGTACTCAAATCATAAGTCCCTAACTTCAGGAAATATATCTCAAAATCTTTCTAATAAAATTAATAACTCAAATATTGAAATTTTGGTATGCTAATAAGCTACTAGAGCTCTAATTAATGCTCCTTGGTGATTTGTAACTCATTGTCTGAAGATGAAGCCATACCTAATGCTAAGTAGTCTTCTAATCCTATTGGCCTAACTGTAACTCCAAACAATCTAGTCATTCTATAATTGAGTTGTAGGCATGGATCTTATGAGAAGGTGATATATGCAGTTAGTATTTTGATGTGGATGGTGGTGGTTGGTGGTGAAGGTGCTTCTCTCCCTACTTCATCAAACTCATGATCTTTGTATAGCTAGTTCCCATAGCTAATGATGAAGAAAATGTAAAGGGACCAATTAAAGTTAAGGATTGGGAATATGTCAGCTGGTTCTGGATAATAAAGTTGATACTTTTGAGCCAAGACATAGGCTATAAGGTGTCCTAATGTAAGGGTTTGCTTACATCGGGTGGAGCGCACGAGAAGGGAAGTAGGGTTTTAAAGGTAACAAATTATCATTTGAGACTCATCAAATACCACTCCCAGATATTGATATAGCGTACGGTAATGAAAAAATAGAAGAGGAGCTTGATATTCACTCTTTCTCCAGGCCTTAGGAAGGATCAATAGAGCATTTCGGGTAAGTGTTTGGATAAGAGCTTAATATTGATTTAGAGGATTATTTTTTAGAGTTATTTTTTACATTGCTCCAATCAAATAATCAGTCATGGAGCGTTATGTTATGCGGAATAAACTTCAACATCAATGAAAATATAATAATGTTCA